CCGCCCGCCCGCGCGCGTGGGGAGGTGACGTCACGGAGGCGCCGGGCGAGCCCCGGAACGCGGCGTTGACGTGCCGCTGTCGTCCGGGTGAGGACCGGAGTTCAAGCCCAAGGCTCGCCTGGGAACCCGGGCGGGGACGGGGCCCGGGAAGGCGGGGAAGTGCGCCCTGTAAGGGCCGGAGCCCGCGGCGACCCGGCAGCGGCCCCGCATGAAAAGAGACGCTGGTCCTCCGTATTCCAGCTAGGGGAAGGTCCCCCCACCCCCAGTGCCTTCAGAAGTTCAGTTTCTGTCCTTGTCGAGGACATAAGTCCTTGACATAATACCCACATTTCAGGTGCTCAGTAGTCACATTTGGCAATTGGGGTGCAGATTATAAAACAGCCGCGTTTTTGCCGGCGTTCTGGACTTTGGGTGTTGGTATGTTCCAGGCTGGTCGCAGATTTTGTTTTACTATATCCTGCGAAGAAAAGCCTTACAGCAGAAGTTCAGTTTCTGCCTTCGTGGCTAAATGAGCCCCCTGCCCGTTTCACAACCCAGGAGAGCACCTGCGAGCCCTCACTTCGACCATCTCCCGCGATTCTGGGAGGTTAAAGGCCCCAACTTGTCACCGGACTCCAAGCTGCACAACCAACCTAGTGGGATGGGTTGTGTCCACTTAGTTGTATGAGAGACCCGGGTTTCTAAACGTTGTGCATCCCTCTAGCTGGTTGATGTGCATCGCATTCTCATTTAGTGCTTATTCAATAACAAAGCTGTTTCCTACCTCTGCAGAGAGGTTTTCTGTGTCGGGAGGTGATTTTGTTCTTAATTTTATTTCCGTACACAGGCCAGGAGAACACATTAGGAGGTACTGAGCCTGGAAAGGGCGAGGTTTGTTGGAGACGAGTGTTAACAGGGTTGTGGACTGTCCTTAGAAGGGCTGCACGTTCAGCACTCTTGAATATCAGGCACGGAAGGTGGGAACTTGTTCTATAAGTGAAGACAAGGAGAGCAGTACTCAGCATTTTGTGTGCAGCGCTCAGCGAATCCCTCTTAGCCCTTCATAGTCTACAAATCTGTGTCATTAAGTTTCATGAGACAGGGCAGGAATAGCATTTCCAGAGGCTACCAAGGAAAGTAACACGTCCCTGAAAGAGGCCAGGTGGCTTGCTCAGGGTCTCAGAAGGCAGGGCTCGATGCAGGTTGTTGTAGCTCAGAACTCACTGCTCTTTAAAGCCGTCTGCCATAAGGTAGTCAGCGAGAACCAGGCGGGTAAATGGTCAAGGAGGGCCAGTGTATGGGTGAGGGCATGGGAGGCTCTAGGACCGAAAAAGTAGGCTCTGCCAGGACTGCAAGAGAGGAGCTTTTTTTCTAAGTAACCAACAAAATGAACTAGAGAGGGGAAGATGCTCCATGGGAGTGTTTATCCAGGTAATAAGAAAGGATGCCAAAACATTAAGGACCACGGGATTGCAGCTCAATTCCATTATCCTAGTAGGCTGCATGAGAGCGGCACGAGGGAGACCCGTCCGCAGTGTCTTATGAAAAGAACTTTGTCCAAAACTGCATCTCAGGAGAGTAACTCCATTTTTCTCCTAAGCTAATTGGGACGGATGCCGGAAAGGAAAACTAGCAGTTTGGCTCTGGGAGAACACAGCTGCGGTCAAAGCAGGGCTTGCAAGGGTTCTTCCCCTGAGGGCCACACAAGGAGGACCCCAGAGGGGCCCGGGCTGCCTCTCATTACGAGGTCTTCAAGGGGTTTTGTGAGGGTCGGAGTTGCAGTGAAGGATTCGGAGGAGGATCAGCTCTAGATTTTTCTGTCTTGAAGTTTAGCACTTGGGTCGCAGTCATTTTCGTTCACCAGCTGGGGCCCCAGGCAGCTCGGGCGGCTGTTGGAAGAAGCAGTGACCAGCTAGAGGAGGAGGCTGTTAGGACCCCTTGCAGACGAGGTGTAGCCTGGGGAGAAATGCTGGTTTTGTTAGCATTGCAGCTGGTACCATCGGTGCCTGTCAGGGGAGACCGAACACGCAGACGGACGATGGGCAGGCCATTTCTAAAACGAGAACTCTGACCCACAGCCTGCTGCAGCCAGCCCAGGAAGCCGGCCTCTGTGAGTCAGACTTTGGGGAGATGGACTGCTCTCTCTAGTGACAACCACATAACGACCAGGTAACAATGCGAACAAGACAAATGGCCAGAGCTTGGTCAATAACTGACAGCTTCCCTCATTTTTGTTCCCACTTCCAACTTAGGACTCACCAGAGGAAGCCAGACACGCTCCTCTAGCCAATCACATGGGTGCCCAGTTCTACTTATTCCCCCAGTTTCCCCGGGTTCACAGCCACTATTGGCGCACCCGAGCCCCCTTTCTCCACCAGGAAGCTCTCCGCTCCTCTGCCTGCCTTTGGTTCTCTGCCAGATGCAAGTGATGGCGGCTGACTCCCTTGCTACAGCAGGCTGTGTACGAATAGACTTTGTCGTTACCTGGCTGGTCCTCGTTTATTTGCCAAATGATCGCCATCTGGTTATTAGTAGGCAGAATCTGACTTGGGCTTGTGTATTGGGGGATGAGGCAAAGGCATCCCAGGGGGCATGGTGGGATGCAGCCTGGTGGGAGTCGGCCTAGGGATATGAGATAACAGGAAACCCGCACGTTGCTCCTTGCCCCGTTCCCCTGCCTGGTTCCCCTGTCCCGTTCCCGGCACAGTTGCCCGGAACCAGGCAGTTGGCCCCTTCCTCTGGGAAAGCTTTACCCTGGGCCACCTGATAGGAGGGCTAAGGGGCCCAGCTCCATCCCGCAGAGCAGAAATGAGGGAGTGCTGGACTGAGAGACAAGACAGTGACAGCTGGCACAGGATCCCTTACTTAACCGCACCACTGGAGACAAACTGGTTTGTATTGGTTTATGCTCCAGCTGCGCTGCAAGGTTCTTACTGACAGCTTGGTTTAGCGACAAAATAATGGGCCTGCTGCTGCTGATTCCAGTTTGCACTGTGCTTTGGGGCAACCCCCCCCATCCCTGGACCTCATCCTTAAAAGGTGGCAGTTATCCTAGGTGACTGTTCAGCTCCCTTTTATTCTGATAGGGTCTGGACTCGTTAGTTTGCAAACTCGGGAGCTTCCTGGGTGTAATTTGAAACTGGCCCCCTACACGGAGGGCAGGGAGACACTGAGGAAAGAGGCAGACCAGTCCAGATTGGTAGGTGGCCGGTTTAATCACCAAAGGAACTGATAGATCGCAAGAGTAGATCTGCGCACGGGCCCACCTCAGGCTGTGACTTTGGGACAGCGTCTAGCCTGGGGACGACGTGTGGAGTATGCATTGCAAGGACAAGGGAGGGGCGAGGAGCCTCCCATTTCCTGGTGCAGCCCGCGAGTCAGCCCGCGGTCCCGTCTTCTCAGTGGCCTCCTCTAACAGCACGTCCGCA